TTTAGGAAATATTTACCAGAGATGTTCAAATTTTATCCCTAAAAACGACTGCTAATGCAATATCAAATTTACAGTTTTGCCACACCATGTCCCAAAATTATAGTACGCGTGTTATTCCTAAACTCATAATTAAGCCCGGTTCTAATTGCTCATCAGACCACTTCACAAACTAGCTGAAATATCTACTGACATTGGTCAGATGAATATGGAACAGACAAGTGCTTGATTGTGCTTAGCGGACTGCATATCAAAATGATAGCAATATATTGGGTCAGTAGTACGTGACAGTAGATAAACGAGTGTTACTGATAACGTAGATCCAGCTTCTCCCGGCAGATTCATTTTTGTTAGTTATCAATGTCACTAGGAATGTAATGCTCGTAGGAAAGTAAATTCATAGTTTCAGTTTTGGATCTCTATTCTTAAAAATAAAACTGACCAATGATGCGATGATTTAGAGAAGGAAAATTCAACGTGTATCAGGTTTCTCCCTATTTCTCATCCCAAAACAAGGATCAAATACGTATGATGACTTCAATTTATTTTCAAGATATAATGTGCCTGGAGAAGTAATATCCAGAAGTCGCTAGAGAATTTTATAAAGTAAGTTTCTTAGTTCACAAATCTGACAGTGATTTTTCCTCAATGGCTATTTACCAAACCCAAAAGCAGAATAATGTGATCATTAAAGGAGACGAGGGTTGCTAATAAAGGATTCATTATAACATCCGTCAGCTCTTCGAAGTTGAATGGTGGTTGAACCGAAAATAAGTTAATTTATGTCAGATTATGAAACAGTATCAGGAATTAAAGAAAGTCGTCAGAATAAACTGCAGAGAAGACATTCATTGGGAAATACAGAGGCTCACCATAGTTATACTGTGGCGTGTAAAACTTTTTGAGACACCTTAGTAAATTAATTACCCTTGTTAATTTTACTCCCAAACCGACAGTGATTAACAGTATGTCAAAAAATAAGTTTCTCTATCTTCGTTAATGCTATATGGTGGATGACGGGTCGTCATAATGATTTGAAAAAAGCCCATGCAAAAATACTGGACAACAAAATTTTCACTTTTCAGGTCTTTTCTTAAGTTAAAAAGAAATACTTTCTTTTGCTAAATGTGACCTTTGTTATTACAGAAAGTACAACAGTCAAAGTAAGACGCTAGTAATTAATGTTACTGTCTTTGGCTCAATTCGATGTGGCATAGAACGGAAGAAGTTCCAAATTTTTGCATTGGGAATTTTACCCTTCCTTCTTGGCAGTAATCCCAAAGATCTTGAAGATTGTGTGGTTTTCCTTGGTGTATTTGTGTCTTCCATTCCTACTACAATGATTCAATTATATTCAGACCAGGACTTTGTGCTTGCCATTTTTCCAAAAGTATAACATCTTCATCGACAATAAAACTTTTTGATGCACGTGACGTGTGACGCTGGAAAAAAAATTCTTCATCTTCAACGTCTGGCAAATGATTAGACCGTAATAAACTAATATAATTTTTACTGTTTAGTTTTTCATAAACTTACCAATTTTCTTCTCCCATCTCTTTTGATGCATTACACGTTCTTCACCAAATTTTACCGTCTTTGTGGCATGAGTCTTGTATTATTTCTTTCTTGCACTGAACTTCATGTTTTCTTGTATTATAATATAACCCTATTTTGTATTCATCACTAAAAATTACTTCTCACCACTTTCGAGAATTCCTAATCCTGCCATGGCATTTACATTGTAGCAAACTATCCACATTCTCTCCGTATTCCATCGGTGAGAAATAAGTTCCACTGGAACAGCTTCTTCCCGTGAACCACTGACCTTTGGAACAAGACTCCCGCCTTAACGTAACCCCATTACCTCGAGTAGCCTCCGCTCTTTGAACAGGGTGAACCTTACAGTAAAAAAAAAAATGTTCTTTTGATCAGTCCAATTTTCTATTCCGATGGTTTTTAATAATGATTCTTTTGCTGCTATATACCTGTTCACGTTGTCTTTTTTGTAATACTCTGCATATTGTATCAACAATCTTACAGTTAAAACAACATTCACTTAGTTGGCTGTTAATTTTGGATTGCCTACCAAGTTTCTCATAGTCTTTCTGTCATCTCTCTTGTTTAACTTCTAATTTTCGTTGCGCTTAAAACACTTCCAGTATTAGCAAACATCTTTTGGATGATTTTAGAAAGTATTGTTCCTCGCAAGCTATGTAAAGGCGTAAATGCATTCCTCATAATTTATTCTGTGTCTGACTTTTTACAAAGGTTGACATCATCCAAAAATATCTTATTCTATCAAGGATCTTGCTTCTCAAACCATTATTTTGAAAACGGTTAATATTTTATGAATGAAGCTCATTTCAACAGATTAATGTTACATTCAGTGGAAAGTCGAACTCACCAACGTACAGATAATTAAGGAATTAAATCATGCAGCTACTGAAAAACTTGTTGTGTCATAGATTTTAGAAGCATTGTTTCCATTAGGCAAACCAAACTGTTCTTTAGAAAAACTTTGATTTACCTAATGGAAACTATGTTTGTCTAGCAGTTCCACATGTTCAAACAAAAAGCTTCGCTCAAACCAAAAAAACTTGAAGTCTATTTTGATCATTTCTGTAGCAGAGGTGTGATTTACGATAATTAAAATGCTCACAATAAAGACAAAACTTGGAGATTAAAAGCATTGTCAGGGACTGTAGTAATTAATTTGGTTTAATTAGAGTGAAACAAATATCGGAATGTAAACCTATGAACTAATTCTTTTACCAATTAAGCAACGAAAAACAGATAAAATTTATATAATTTACGTATCCTTCATTCAATAATATTTTACATGTTTAATGAATATGCTAGCAAAAGCTGTATTATTTAAATTTGGTTCAATCGTTGTAAGTGAGTTCCTGTCTAATAAATCAATATTATTTTGACAATGAGCAATTGTCGTTTAGGTTTTTAAATGAAAAGATTTTATTTTCCTTTAATGTTTGGCGTCAAACAAAATTTTGGATTTTTATACGAATGAATTAAAAAAAAATGCATTTGATGAGTGTTGTTTTCGCTGCACTATTGACATATATTACTACTTATTGTAAATCAGCAATGATGATGATTTTGTCACGAAAAGCAATCAATCTGGATAGAACCGGAATGATTTATTAAAGAATCAAACACAGAAATTGAAAAGATACTGACATCTGTTAACATTAATCTAAACTTATTTGACAATTATTCTCGGACATAAATTCTTACATTACCTTGGCGCTAGTCAAAATTTTCAAGCAACAACAATTTTTAATACATTCGTGTGCATTTTCTCCTCTTAATCTACATTTATTTTAACACTTTTTCTCGATGTCACTTTTAAATGTACATCGAATTTTAATACAGATCGAATGAACAAAAATTTCTTTGCCAAACAGAGGCATGAACTACAACGTAATGTCGAAATGACGTAAATTAAATCTTTTCATAATGTGCATGGAATCATTGCATTATGGTGCCAATGCTTCTTATATTGGTGCCACAAAACATTTCCCTTGGAAACACAGCGATTACTGATCTTCGATCATGATTTTTAACCCGATCAATGTTATTTTCATGCCGTACATACAGGTTGACATAAAAATCCATTAAAAATAAATGTAATTTTGCTGCACTTTTTAGTGTTTACCCACTAAATGTTACACGATACCCAAATATATATATATATATATATATATATATATATATATATATATATATATATATATCGAACTGTAATTCAAATCCATCCATTTGTGATTACGAGAATCAAATATTTTACAACGTACTAATTTCATTTTTAACTGGTCTTATAGACCAGTTAAAATCGAGGATCGTTTTTATTAAAATTTCCCCGTGAAAAAAAAAAAAAAAAAAAAACAGAATTAAAGCGTTAATGCTAAAACTTAAAATATAATTTATAGTTAGCATCACGATTTGCACTACTTAAATTGTTTGGACTGTTGTCTTCGTCTTTATTATCACATTCACGACATTTCGGTCGTTGTACGCTCCAGTCTTCTTCAGGTGACATACGTTAGAATTCGAACCGAACCCTTTATTTAGTCTACTGGGGTATATTGTTCTAATTGCACGTGCCATGTCTTTTTCTGGGTATCTCAGTTTCAGTTATTTCCCTTTAGTGGGACTTTTTTGTATGTTCACCTACTGTGGCCAAGCACTGAACTCAGAACTCTTTGCATCAAGTCACTGAATTTCTTCAACTAACGCTTTTATCGACTGTGCCGTATATCACCTGAAGAAGGCCGGACCATACGACGGCCAAAATGTCATGAATGTGACAATAAAGATGAGGACACCTGTCTGAACAATGTAAATAATGTAAATAGTTACAATATCAGAAATATAGACAGATAGTATCACGATATAAAATTATATATTTATAATATAAAATTACTTATAAATTAAACGCTAAAACAAATCCGAAAACCGAACCTTTATTTTTCAATGTAGAACTTAAAGAAAATTTTGCGAATAAACAGAAAGATTATTTGGTTTTACATAACTTTAGTTTCTCTGGCGCAGAAGATAATTTTATTAATAAATCATTATTTCAAAAAACACACAGGAAAATCAGTTATGTGTTAGCTTTAATAAACCGCCATTTTTACACCGCTAACTGTGCACACAGATTCAACTTTATGAGAAAATACGATGGATACTGGGTTAGGCTCTTTTGATTTATTTATTTTGGAATTAGTCAATAAATATTAGATAAATATTTAAATAAAGTGAAAACTTGCACCATTTGTATAAAGTGTGCAAAACAAAATAAAAATACATTAATTTTGATTCGAAGTTTTTGTAGGAAAATTTAATTTTGTCCTATATGTTAACATTTTTTTCACTTATTGGTGGATATTTTCTATTTCCGTTTACTTTGAGCTACAATTAAGTTTCTCTGCACTAAATTAAAAATACAATTCGTTCGAAACTTTGTCAGGATCTTGAAATTTATGCTTGAACTTTTCAGGCTTGTAACGTGTCTTCTATCGGGTTGAACACCGCTCTATCACTTGAGGTGATAAAACAGTAGTAAGAGTAAGAGTAAGAGTAGTATTATTAGTGGGACTTTTTTGTATGGGTAGAGGAGAAAGGAAAAGCGAGAACGAAAACGGGGCAGTTAGGTTTTTGGTAAACTTTGTGCCAACAAAGTCATTCTCCCCTCAGTTGCCCCTCCGTCCGCCATCTTGTTTGCCATCTTCCGACAACCTCCGCCTTTACCCTTGCAGACACACCCGCCTTTCTTGTCTCGTACCCAACTTTCCTTCCTTCTTTTACCCCTGCTTTTTTCTTCTTTCTTTTTTAGCGCGATCTGTAGCAATCGTTTGTATATACACATATTCATACATATATATCTCGATAAACTTTTAAGCCAGTCTCACTCTTCCTGAAGTGTATAGTACCTTATGTAAGCATATATATATATATATATATATATATATATATATATATATATATATATATATATATATATATATATATATAGTACATGTATGTATGTGCGTGCATGTATATGCTCCTCGACACTTTCTACGTCTATCGTTATTTTATCTTTCCTTTTTTTTCTTTATATTTTTTCCTTGCTTTTCTGTCATTTCCTCTTTTTCTTTTTCACTTCTTTGTTCAAATTTAATAAATACTTAAAATTACTCCGGGTTACTCTGTGTCTCTCTCACTCACTCTTTCTCTCTCTCACTCTGTCTCTCTTTCACGTAACGGGCATGCACACATCACACATCATACATTGGACACACACGCGGCCGTTTCAATCCCTTGTTTTTCCTTGTTGTCTAGCAAAAAACGTTAGCTTTTCATAATTTCTTTCTTTCCTTTTTTTTTATTTTCTGATCGTCGAGAGATTTCTTTTTTAGTCTCTTTTCATTACTTTTTCTGGTCTTTTTCAACGTTTTTAATTCTTTCCTTCTTTCTTTCTTTCCATCTTTCTTTCCTGTTTTTCTTTCCTTTCTTTCTTGGCCCTTTCCTCCCTTATTATTTCTTGTTTTTATTCATTTTTATTATTTTATATGTAATCCTTTACTTCTTTTTCCTTCGTTATTTTCAATTCTTTTTCTTTCTTTTCTCTTCCTTTTTTTCTTGATTTTATATGATTTATTTTTTCTTTCCCTTTACATTTTCATTCATTTCTTTTTTATTATTCTTTCTTTTCCCTTCCTTCTTTCTCACTTTTTTCTTTTTCCCATCCTTTCATCTTTTTTCCTCTTAATCTTTTCTTCATTATTTTTCTTCTTATTTTTTCTTTTGATTTTATTTCTTTCTTATCCCTTTCTTTCGTTTCTTTTTCTTTCTTTTTATCATATTTTTCCTTTGATTCTTTTAAATTTTCTCTTATTTTCATTTTCATTCCTTTTATTCTTATCCTTTTCTTTTTCTTTCTTTATAACACCATTTACTCAGTACACACCTCCCTCTACCGAAGTTTTCTATCGCTTTTAATTATTCCTTTCTTCGTTTTCCTTCTCTGATAATTTCTTCTCTTAAATTCCTTCTTCCCTATTGCGCCCTCTTTACTCCTTCATCCATCTCAATTTTTGCTATTCTATATTTCTCCACTCTTAAATTTTCTGTTCTCTTTCTTTCTTAGTGCCGGGTCCACTCTTTCTTTATCATCTCTCTATCTCTGCTCTTCGATTTTTTCTTTCGCTTATCCTATAATTCATCTTTCTCTTTTCACCATTTCTTTATTATATCTTTGTTTTTTCTCTCCTCAATTACCTCGTTTATCTTTCACTCTCTCTCTTACTCTCTCTCTTTTTTTTTCTTTTTTTCGCTTTGTCTTTACTTTTCTACATTTTTTTCCGCTTTACTCTGTCCACTATTTTTTCTCATGTCCGTTTTTGCCACTTCCTCCTTTCTTTTATCTTTTTCCATGTCATTTACAGTTTTTTCGGTCTTTTTTTAATTATTGCATAATAATTCTTTCCCTCCCTTTTTTCGGATCACTATTATTTCTAATATTACTCTTTTCTATATTTTTTCCTCTGCCTCTTTTCTCACAACTCCTCCTCCTCCTCCTCTGTTATTGCTTCTTTTGTTTTTTCTTTTCTTTTCCTCGCTAGCTCTTTTACCCTCTTTTTATTTTTCAAAATTTATCATTTCTCCAATTTCCTTCACTTTCTCTTCAATCTCTCCTTACTCTCCTCTATTTACATTTTTCTTCACTTCGATCTCACTTTTTCTATTTTTCTCTCGACCTTTTTGTTCTTGTTCTCTTCTCCCAATCTTATCTTTCTTATGCTTCTTTCTTTTTTTTTTTTAATTTAATTTTTTTTCTACTAATATTTTTCCCATTCGCCCAACAGCTCAACAACGGACCGCCAATCAGCCGGCCCCAACCCGTGTTCACCCGCCCTGCTCAACCACCCCAGGAGGACGCTAGAGACTTCAAATTACGCAGACATATAAAATGCCGGGATATTATTGTCGTGCCAATCAAGGAAAAGCGAGGTCGGCACGTGCCCCTGACAGGGTAGGACAGCTTTTTCATATGCAAATGAGGGCCGCCGTGTGCCTTCTCGCGACAGCGGCCTTCCTGCCTCTGTCCCCATTGCTCTACATACTCTGACTTCTTCACCACCGACACCCGATTAAAAAAAAAAATGCCATGCGTTTTCGACTTATTTCTTAACTACCCCAACTTCGTTGCCTCGATCGCCAAGTCATCTATTGAAAACTACCACCACTACGACACTCACTTCAGTACAGTGACAACTACTATTACTTCTATCGCAACTACTTCCACTACTCCTAAAGACTATTAAAATTACGAGTCCTATAACAGTGAGAACGACTTATCGTAATCTCTGGTAACTACTGCAGCTACTACTATGATTACTTAAATAAAACTAACTATAATACTACTAATAAATTAATCTGTGTGTACCATTGTGAGTTTGTGTCTAGGTTCGAATTAAGACGTTTTTTTTTTGTTTTTTTTTTGTTTTTTTATGTAAGCCGTAAGCATAAACCCTGAACAAACATCATTTTCATTTTATTAACATTCAGCGCACTTTGGTTATATTCATGCAAAGTTCGCATAACCTGTTTTAATTAATGAAACTAAACAGGAACATCTGTTAATTTTTCGTTTAAACTGAAATAACAACTAGTAAATTACGAAACTTATTTTTAGCATATTTAACTTTGTTGGAAAGTTTTCAGTCATTTTTAAGCGTGATAATTCAAAACTAACAGAACTTCTGTATTTGCTTTTTAATTCCTTTTATAAACATTATATAGTTATGTTCAATTTTTAAAGAATCTGTTGGTAAGCATGTTTATTTCTTCTATAGACAAACTTTATTACCCACTGAACATTGCACAAATAAATGTAACCTTCCGATTTCTACTTTAAATCTTATACTTCTTCATTATACATTCTTCTGCAAGTTTTTATTTTATCTATCACTTAAATGATTCCCTCTGTTTATATAAATTTCTTATTTTTCTTTCTTTTTTAGTTGAGATCTTTTAAAATTTAGCTGAACACAAGGCAATGGGGTGCACGAATGAATTGTCTCACTAAATGTCGCTTTTCATCAGGTATTATTCGTGCTGATATTTACCAACACTAGCTTAACCGAACACAAAGATCTAAATGTGACAAAAATGAAGTGAAGATTAAGTTCTCTCACAGTGCTCTGCGAGACGAGTTTGTTAATCCTTGCTCTTTGACAGGCGTTCCAATCTACAACTTATTTTCCACATTTCTCACTATTTCTTATTTCATTAGCAACTGCAAAAATAATAATGATTGCGATAATCTGGGAAAGTGACGAAAAGTATCTTCGTAAAAAGAGAGAAAGTTAAATTTGGGTTTGCAAAGGAAAAAAGGGTAAAACAGAAAAAGAAAGAGACAGTGAGTGACAAAAAGAGGGACAGAGATCGAGAGTGCCAAGGAATTAAAATGGAAGGGGAGGAGAGAAAAAAACAGTGTGAAATGAGAGGTAGAACTTTTTGAACAACTTTCTTTCTTTTTTTTCTTTTTAATGCACGTCAGTGTCCAAAGTGAATGTGGAGTAAATAAAGATCAATGAAGCGTTATATTTACAAACTTTGTCTCAAGGCTTTCATGTCATTAACTGAAATAACATTAAGAAATTGATTTAAAGATCAACTAATATCAGCATAGTCTGGTGCAAGGCCACAAGTGTGGGTCACTTAGTGATGATCAAAGTAACAAACACTACAAATGCCCCAAGTATGAATGGTAGTCTGTAAGAGGTGATGGGGGGGAGCATTTAGTTAAAATCGAACCTATTAACAATGGCCTGCAAAAGCAACATGTTAACCAGCGCTGTAAATTACTCTAGCTTGTTAAATAAAATTTACAAAACAAAACAAGGTATGTGAAAAAAAATGAAATGTATTATTGGCGAGTATATAATCTCCAGTCACGGGAGAAGAAGGAATAACAGAGAAGGAGGGAGAGAGATGCGTGGGTTGCCTCCTGAAAGTGACAAGAGTAGAATGAATGAATGTCAGAAAAACAGGGAGTTATAAATAAAGAGAGAAAAAACAAGAATAAAATGTGGCAAGAAAACTGAAAAGTAGACAAACATAGAGAGAATGAAATAGAACGAATGCGTTTATAAAGCAAGTCGGTAAGTAAAGTAAAGAAAAAGATAAGGATAAGAAAGAGAGAGCGTGTGAGAGAAAGAGGTGGGGGTAACATGAGATTTACTGAAAATTCTCGCCTCAACCAAGAAACTTTTCCAAAAAGAAAAAAAAAATATTTGGTCAAATTTTCGGGAGTTGTTCGGGTCGGGAACTTTTCAGTGGCCATTCCTATATAATGTTCGAGAAAAGAGAAGAAAAAAGTTGGGAAGTTCACTTGTTGAGTTAAAACCATTTTTTTTTTTCCTGTTGATCAAAAACTTTGAAAATTTTTTAGCTGTTTTTTTGTTGTTGTTTTTTTGTTTGTTTTGTTTTGTTTTGTTTCAGTTTTAAACGAGAGGAAGCAAGGAATAGAAA